GGGAGTGAGCCTGGCGGCGGCGGAGTCGACGGCGGCGGCGGGAGGACGGGGCCTGACGGAGGCGGGTTGCCCGGCGGCGGCGGTGGGAGCGAGCCTGGCGGCGGCGGAGTGGACGGTGGCGGCGGGAGGACCGCGTTCATGGGCGAAGCCGGCTTGGTGGGGATGGGCGGAGGTGCTGCGGCTGACTGGGCATTCTTGGCACCGGTTGTGGCGGCGGGCCGCGAAGCGTTGCTGGTTTGGTTAGAGGAGGACGACGAGGACGACGAGGAGTAGGTGTACGAGTCCGAGTCTGAAAACGACGACGACGAGTCTGAGCCGTCTGACGACGACGACGACGACGACGACTTTCTCGTGGTTTTGCCCATGGTCGGTAGCAAGTGCCTGCCTGCCTGTTCAAAAGCAGACGTGCACGGGCGCGAGGTTGGAGGCGTGAGTTGCTGGCGGCGAGCGGTGATTTGGCGGGGCAAGAAAAAATGCGCCTGCCTGTGTTCGGCACACGGCTACCTATTGTACAGAGGGCAGGGGTGGAGGGCAGGGAGGGGTTGGAAGTTAGGGGAGGAAAGAGAAGGTGAGGAGAAGAGTGGCACGAGGGCGAGGAGGCGCTACAAGAAGCCGTACCAAGCCCAGAAGGAGTGGAGAGGTCGGGCTTGGCCGAAGGAGTGGGGTGGGGGGGGGGGGGGGGGGCGGCGCGGGGAGGCCGAGTGAGGGTCGAGTGGTCGTTCAAGCGGACAGTTGCTGCTTGGCACTGTTCGAATAATAGACGGCTGTCGGTTGGCTGGAGTTTGCTGCGGGAGGAGGAGCAACGCGACATGGCGTCGGGACGGGAGCGAAGCCGAGACAGGATGGGCAGGGGAGAGGGAGGAGCGGAGGGTGCAGAGCTGGTACCCCTTTTCTCTCTTTTACCTTGTGTAGACACACTTGAGGATGTTCCGTTCGTCTGTTGCTCTTACTGCTGCTGTGCGTGCTACGGGTGTGGCCAGTGGCGCGGTGCCGGCGGCTGGCGTGGCGTCGATTTCTTCGGGCAAGCGGGCCGCGTCGACGGCGTCCGGGTTCAAGGTGGCTGTTGCCGGCGCGTCGGGCGGGATCGGGCAGCCGCTCTCGCTCCTGCTTCGCAACTCGCAGTACGTGTCGGACCTCCGGCTGTACGACATTGTCGGCGCGCCGGGTGTGGCTGCTGACCTCTCGCACATCCCGTCCAAGGCCGGGGTGAGCGGCTACGGCAAGGACGACGTCGAGGCTGCGTTTGCCGACGTGGACTGCGTGGTTGTGCCTGCGGGCGTGCCGCGCAAGCCTGGCATGACGCGCGACGACCTGTTCAACACCAACGCGTCGATTGTGCAGTCGCTGGCCGAGGCGATTGCGTCTGCGGCGCCGAACGCGTTTGTGTGCATCATCTCGAACCCGGTCAACTCGACGGTGCCGATTGTGGCCGAGACGCTCAAGAAGGCCGGCGTGTACGACCCGAAGAAGGTGTTTGGCGTGACGACGCTCGACGTCATCCGGGCCAACCAGTTTGTCGGCCACAACCAGAACATCGACCCGAAGGAGCTCGACGTGACGGTTGTTGGCGGCCACGCCGGTACGACCATCCTCCCGCTGCTCTCGCAGATCGAGGGCGCCAAGTTTACCGATGACGACATTGCGGCGCTCACGCACCGCATCCAGTTTGGCGGCGACGAGGTGGTCCAGGCCAAGGACGGTGCTGGCTCGGCGACGCTCTCGATGGCGGTTGCCGGCGCTCGGTTCACCGATCGTCTCCTGGCTGCGGCGTCGGGCGTTTCGGGCATCCGCGAGTGCACCTTTGTCGAGTCGAACGTGGCTGACACGCCGTTCTTCTCGTCGCGCGTCCAGCTTGGCCCGTCGGGCGCCGAGGTTGTTGAGCCGATCGGCCCGATGACCGCGTTCGAGCAGGCCAACTACGACGAGATGATCGGCACGCTCGGCGACCAGATCCAGAAGGGCGTCGACTTTGTCAACCGCGCGTAGAAGCATTGAACAGTTTTGTGGATGGCTATGAGGTTGGCGCTGTGCCGGAGCGCGAGCGTGAGCGTGAGCGTGAGCGCGAGCGGCGCGAGCGATGTGCGTGACGAGAGTGGCGTGAGCGATGTGAGCGATGCGAGCGGTGTGAGCGGTGTGAGCGGCGGGAGTGGTGTGAGCGGTGTGAGCGATGCGAGCGATGCGAGCGAGTGTCGCTGGTTGACTTGGGCGGCTCGTCGGGTGCGGGCGGGTCGTTCGTAGCGTACGAGGCCATGAGGCCGGCCATGGGATCGAGGGCAGCCTTGAGGGCGGCGTCATCGCCGTCAGCGGCAATGTCCGTCGCAGAGTCGGAGGAGCGAGGAGGGGCGTCGGGGTCTGGCGGCGAGACGCCGAGTCGCTTTGCGTTTGCACGCCAGGCGTCCATGAGCTGGGCGAGCGCCGGTGGCGGGGCCGACTCGTCGGCGCCCTCGGGAACCTTGCGGTGGTAGTTGGCATGGTCGACCTTGAGCGTCTTGCCAAGCAGCTTGACGCCGGCAAAGTTGTCGACGGCGAGCACGGTGGAGCGCTGGTCCTCGTAGGCGACAAAGGCGAAGCACTTTGAGGCGCCGGTCTCGTCGTCGCGGACGAGGTGGGCGTCGATGACCTCGCCAAACTGCGACATGATGGTAATGACGTCGCCCTCGGTCATTTTCTCGTGGAGGCCACCAACGTAGACGTAGGCCGAGGAGTCGTAGCTGGCATGCCACGACATGATTGGTCTTGGGTGAAGTGGAGTGTGGGCTGTGGCTGCTGTGGCCGGTGGTGAGGGGAAGGTGGAGGGATCGCGGCAAGGTGGCGCAAGTGTTTGGGTGACGAGGGGAGGGGGGGGGGCGATCACTACTGGTTGTGCCAGAGGAGAGTGCGGAGATCCGAAAAGGTGTCGGCGTTGATGTAGAGGTAGTCCATGGAGCGGCGGAGCGAGGACTGCAGGGTCGAACGCTCCTCGTAGAAGAGCCACATGACCAAGCCCCAGACGAGAGCAGCAAAGATGGGAAAGGCGTGCTTGGGCGCAGGCGCATCGTCTGTTGCGCGCGAGTAGATGTACTGCGCAAGCGCGAGAGCAACGCGCGAGAAGAGATAGAGGACAATCTGACGGTTGACAGAGGTCGACGAGCCAAAGACCGTGTAGCCGGCGACGAGGCCGGAGAAGAACGGGTGGACTGGCGCGTACGAGCCGTTGAGCGCGCGCAGTAGCGCCATGCCGGTCTTGAACAGGCCGACAAAGACGGCGAGGTTGGTCGCATGAGTCTGAGTGGCGGATAGGATGCCTGCCAGCTTCTCACGGAGCGATCCGTCGCGGAAGAGGAAGGTCATGACAAAAGCATGTGGCGCGCGGACCTTGACGCCGTAGACAAGGCCATTGCGGACGCCCTTGAGAATAGCAAGCAAGGTGTGGGCCAGCGGCGTCGGGCTGGCAATGGCCGCATCGGTGGAGGTCAGCAGTGACGCAACCAGCGACGACATGGCGTAGCAGGACAAGAGAGGAGAGGTGTCCCGGCCAGAGCTGGTGGAGGCGGGGGCGGGGTGGGGGTGGGGCGGCACCCGGCACAGCACACGCGTCTCTTGACAAGGACACCATCAATCAGTTTGGGCATCTCCAGACATGGCAACCAGAGTTGGTGGTGGCTGCTGTGGCTGACCAGGGGCGGCGCAGGGAGGTGGCGAGAAGGGTGCGGGTGGGCAAGCGCGAGGCGGTCACAGCGTGCAAGGTGTATAGCTGCAAATGAGCACGCGGGGTCCGGACTGGCGCTGGCGGAAGAGATAGCGATGTCGAGCGAGCGGGTATCTGGGCCGGCCGATGGAAGTCGATCCGCGGGAGGCGTGTGTGCGAATGGAACGCAATGCTGGGGCGAGGGCAGTGGCCAGGTCTGAGCGGAGCACGGTGTTTGCGGTCGAGGGTAGGAGCCTGGCGATGCGAGGGTTTGTGATCGATAGGAAGATGGTGAGGGCGGTTGTGGCCCGGAATGCAGGCCAGCACCCGACGCGCAATGGAATGCTGTATATGAGGTTGGAGTCTGGGTCTGGCAGGGTAGGGATGTCGCCGTCCCCGGGTGGATGACGCGGCGCGAGGCGCAGTGGGTGGCGCACTGGGTGATCCAGGAGCAACGGGCGAAGCTATAAGGCTGGCGGCGCAAGATGTCGGGGCTGGGGTGGCGTGGAAGCCGACACGTGAAGAGATGGCGTGTGTGGCGGGCGTGCTGCGGCCTGGGCTTGTATATGCGGTGAAGGTGGAGGCCGGGGTAGTGGAGGATTTGCTGTGCAGAGTGGTGCAGCGGTGGGTGGTGTTTGACGCCGGCAGCAAGGCTGTGATTGGAGCTGGCTGGTGGAGCGTGGATGAGATGGTGGGGAATGCGGAGGACGTCGGCGTGGTGGAGGGGATCGCGTGGAAGCGAGCGCGGCGACGGAGGAAGGCTCTGCCGATGGTGTCGGACAGCGACGATGACGGGGAATCGTCGTGCGTGATTGGGGCCGTGAGCGACGAGGGGAGCAGCAGCTCGAGCTCGGAATCCAGCAGTGGGATGTCGTCTGGCGAGTACCGCGAGTGGAAGCGGCGCAAGTTCCTGGAGGCGATCCGGATGCCGAGCAGGGAGGAGGTGCTGCGGATGCATGTGAGGAAGGCAAGTCGTGGAATTTGATCCATGGCGTGCTGAGCGAGGTGAGAGAGCGGCGGCGGATGGTGGCCGAGTACTTTATCGGGGGAGGGCTTGTGAAGGTGGAGGAGGCTGGGCAGTAAATGACGAGGGGCAAGAGTCATGGTGGGAATGGGGGAGATGGTGGTGGCTGTGATCTTGTTTACTTGTGATTGGGGTGTGTTGGGTGTGGTAGAGGTGGTGTTGCTGATGCTGCTGGTCTTGCTGATGCGATTGCTGTCGGGTCGTCCAAGTCGCCGTGCCCGTCGTCGTCGGGATTGAGGCATGGTAGGCCAATGGGAGTGGGTGCAGAGGTTGAGGGGAGGCGTGGATGAGGATGTGGTTGGGGACGAGAGTGAGAGGAGGAGTGGCTTGTTTTCGGCCAGTTGGACTTGGGCCTCGTCATGATCAGCGGCGCAGTTGGCAGGAGGGGCGTCGATGGAGACGAGGGCTTGGGATTGGAGGAGGGGCAGTTTTGAGTTGCGGGGCGAGAGGGAGGAGGGTAGAAGGGAGGGTGAGTACGATCAGGCTAGGAAGTGGTCATGGGTGCGCCATCGTCAGTTGGTGTCGATGTCGGTGCAGGGGAGTGGCTGGGCTGGGCTGGCGACTGGCGGTGGAGGTGATGGTGATGGCGATGACGACGACGATGACATTTATGCGCATCAGGCCAACAGTGTCTGCGTCATTGCACTCGATAGTCCGCTTCTGCTCGTCCTTCTGATCTCGATCTTGCCCTCTCATCCTCGACCTCGGCCTCGAACTTGGGTTGTGTGCTCGCTTGTTTGGGCTGTCGCCCACTGGGTCCCGCCCGGCAGCGATCCGGCGCCGATGGTGATCCGCAGCAGCTGGCTTGTTTGCGATGCATGGATCATTTATCCGTCTCCCTTGTCATATCCCCCTCATCCTCCCTCTCTCTCTCCCCAGCAGTCGCAGCCTCGGCGTCAGCCACAGTAACCGCCTCGGGTCGTCATCCGCTATC